TGATGGACACTCACCTTTTCTTGCTGGGGATGACTCCGATCTGCTCGCTCTCGCCGTGGGGTGTGACAAGCCTGGCTTGCCACCACTCATCGTCAGAGGCATTGATGACGTGCAGGATGTCCCCGTAGGAGAAGCTGAGTCCCTGGCTGGGCAAACAACTGTCCCGGGTCCGGTCGTAATCAAACAGGGCTCTGTGGAGGAGCAGAGAGAAGAGTGATGCCTTCCCCATGCATGGCCAGACAGCGAGGGCAGCAGCACTGCTGACCTCCTGGGGCACTGCCACCTGCACACCTCAAAGGACTAAAGCCCAAACCTTGGGGAAGCCTCCTGCTGTGGTGAGGGGTGCTGGGCAGCCACCAGCACACCCCTTGCAGCGGTGGGCTCAGCACAAGCCCCAACACATGAAACACAGGAGTCACAGTGTTGGACCAAAAGAACCCACTCCTGACCTTAGCTGCGAGAGGCACACACACCACAGACACACCGAAAGCGGCTGTGGTGAGCGAGCAGGTGATGCTCAGCAGCCTCAAGAAAGCAGCAGCGTGCAGGAGAGCAGTGGGGAGGTGGGGTGTGGGGCTGCTCCCCACCATGCCTCCCCAGCAGCTGTGGGCTCAAGGAGTGGGATGGGGAACGTCAGACCCCACTGCTGGTGGGTGGTTGTACAGGCAGAGCCTGCGGGGTGCACTGAGCACACACTTTATTAAGGTACAGGGGTCTGTCAGTCCCAAGCCTGTGAATCAGGAACACATCTGAAGGTACATATATCTGCTTCCACAATTGATCCTTTTCAGACTCCTAAATACTTCCCCTGAGAACAGTCTATTTAGTTTAAAATTATCTTCAATATTGAACTAACCAGCTACAGAAAAGATATTAAAAAAAAAAAACAAACTAGAGGAGCACCAATACTCTTCCTGCACACACTTTATCGTACACAGCAGCCCGTACCCACAAGCTGCTCTCAGTGGCTCCACGTTCTCCTAATGTCAGGTCTCAAACCATGTCTGCTTTGATAAAACCACTTTGCAAACACCAAACCAAGGCAACAGTCACTAAAAGCACCACTGCCAGCAGCACAACCCCTGTGTTTGCTCCTGGGACATCAGCCCCACTCAGCCCCAGCCCAGCACCAGCCCATGCACCACAAACACTAGCTGGCTGCTGGTTTAATCCTGGCACTAAGGAGCCTTCCTCAACCAGGAGAGACACCCTCTGCCCTGCTCAGTAACCCCTTCTGCTGTGGGGGGTGGAGGGGGTCTCCTAAGGTGGGAGGGGGTCTGAAAGCACACGGTGCAACCGGGAGGGCCAAGGGACCATGTGGCAGGTCCCCATGGAGCAGCAGAGCTGTGAGAGCACTTATTCAGCTGGATCCCTGCTCCAGCGCTGCCAGGGGAATGCCAGGCAATAAAACCTTTTGGATCACTTGGGACTGGGTCAAGGCAGCCGGTCTCAAATGGGGAGGAGGAGAAGAGAGGCTGGCCCATGGCTCCCACTCGCAGAGGGCTCTTTGGGACGAGACCTGATACAGCCCTACGTGTCCAGATACAGCCAGCCACCAGGTCACTCCTCCTTTCCCAGCTTGCTCAGGGCTGGGGTGGCTCTCGTGCTCAGTCCCTCTGCACCCAAGTGTG